GCCGGCCGCCATTTGGGTTGGGTTAATTTACAAACAGTCGCTCTGATTGGCTGGTGGGCTTGGCTTAACACATAGCAAAGTTACAGTCAATTTGCATGTTTGCCTTTTATTAGTGTAGATTACTTATTAATTATTGTATTATTTTTCATACAAACAATTGTAAACCTACTTTTGCCCTGCCCTGTACATCTAAAAACATCTCTGTTTTTCCCTCAGTTTTGAATAATTGTTTGGTTGGATATAGAACTCTCGGGAGCACATGATTTTTACCTGCAATTTTAAGGACATTTCTTTATTCATTTTGCTGGGTAATATCTAGAAACTATCTAGAAACTCATGTCCTTCAATTTTGAGATAGTTCCTTTAATTACTTCTAGAATAATTCTTTTTATTTCTCTATTCTAATTTTATAAGGTGCCTCCTTATTCTCATTGTATAGATATTCTATTACTTTGATTTAGGCGAATGTTCTAATACTCCCTCACCCCACTTTTGCAAATTATTTGGCTTTTGGTTTTACATTCTGGGAGACACCTCACAACCTCCAACCCTGATAGTTGGTTTGTTTTTTTTTTCCATCTCAGCTCTTTTATCTTTTAATGTCCAAATCTATTATGCTCTAATGTGACATCATTTCTTGCTTGTCTGAGAATATTAAAGTTAGCTTTTGAATATGTTTTTCCTTTGGCTTGTTTCCATTTCCTCCAAGCTCCATTTGTTGTTCACCTTGACCTTTCATGGTCAGGAACTTTCTCAATTGAATATTTAAGGGTTGCACATACACACATAAAAAAAAGTCTATTGATTTTTTTGAACTTGCTTAGAAACAAATAGGCAAATTTTTAAATAAAATATTAGTGAATTAAATACATAGATTTTTTTAATACATTAGGATGAAGAGGAATTTATTCCAAAAATTCAAGACTGGTTAGATGTTATGAAAACATTAATATTCTCTAAGGAGAAAGATTATTTGATAATATCTGTAGTTGTAGAAAAGTCATTGGACAAAAGTCAACACCAATTTGTGTTAAAAAATTATGTAATAAAATTGGAACTACTGGAGATGTACTTAATTCAATGAGCTCCATATGCACACGTGGTGCTGACATGTAAGAGGACTGTACTCCCTGAGGAAACACTCGGGCCCCCCACTGAAGAGGGGAAAAGATGAGGCTGTCTGCACTGATCATTGTTTAACCTGCTATCAGGGGTTTAATTACGGATGTGACTAAACAAGAAAAAGCAAGTACAGGCATCTCTGAGGAACCAAGGACCCTGAAAACACAATTTTTTAACATGCTCACCCCATTAATTATTAAACACACACATCAAGTTGTAGCAATTGTCTGAATGGGGTATCCCCCTGGGTGCACCCACAGAACAGTCCATACAGAGGTGAAAGCAGGTCTTTTAAGCCCCACACAGAATCGTGAGAGCTGGCCCGGAGCTTCCCGCCAGCATTGGGGCCACTCCCAGGGGGGCACCAGTGCGGCTGGCCCCGCTCCACCCTCGCTGCACACACACCCTGCTTCCTGTTAGGCTTGTGGCTTGCTCTTGAAACAGAACTTGTTGCTCGAGCAGCCGATCTCTCAGAGAAGCTTCTACTCAAATGATGGCTTCCCCCACCCTGGATCTCCTCGCTGGAGCTGTGCTTCAGGCCAAAGTGGCAAATTCCTTTATCTGAGTCTTTAAAACTATGTTTCAATTCAGCCTCGGACCCATCTTGCCAGTGTCCCTGTCCCAGACAAGCATGTGGGCTGACACATGCAGGGGAGCTCGGTCTCCTGGCCCCTTGCAGACAGTCCTGGTCAGCCCCTGCCCAACCATTCAGCATCAGCAGAGGTGAGCTCCTGGCTGTCAGTCCTGCATCCCCTCTCCTGGCAGGTGCCACAGTGGGCATGCCCAGCCAGGTGGTCACAGACTGGCAGAGGTCTCCGGTGCTGTCCTGGCATCCTCACCCAGGGAGCCTAGAAGAAAGCCAAAGGCTCTTGGTGCTCATCTTGTCTCCTCGGAGCCAGTCCTAAGCAGCCCGCTTCCTCTCTGCAGGACTCTGTCTTGGGAGTCTAAGTTGGTGCCCCCCAGGAAAGGGCCCTCAGCCTCCAAAAACTTCCCCCCTCCCTGCCCCTCACTGTCCAACAGGCAATTCCAAAGAGAGAGCAGAGCAGCTCTGTCCCAGCCTCACACCGGCCGTCTGGCAGGGTGCCCTGGGCAGGTCCTGCACTCACCCTGCCTCCAGTTCCTGGGTGTGGGCATGTGGGTGATAAGGACCCTCTCTGCTTAAAGAGCGTGTAACTGTAATTTTGCACATGCTTCCAGTACATACTAAGCATGCCTGTCTTTCTTTCTGCATCTTGGGGAGCTGGATAGTCACTGGCTCTCAGGAACAGAAGCCACCATTTAAGGGCATCTGAGTCACAGAAGAGAATGACTTTATTCCATCAGTAAAAGTCATTCCTTGGTCCCCAATGGACAGTGTCACACTTAAATGTGACTGCATTGCACACTAACTAGCCGCACATGCTGGGGTCACGCGGCCTTGTGAGAGGGAAGCATTCTCATTTTGCTCCAGGTGGAATGTGAAACGCAAAGGCAAGTACAAAGCAGTCCATTGGCTGAGAAAGGTGCTGCAGGACGACCCACATCCAGTCACACATGCGGCATCTACACAGAGAATGAGGACTGGAATCTTAATGACACAGACATTGAGACTTTTCAAACTGAAGTCACTAGGGCCATGGTTCATCAATACTGGTATATATTAAAGCACTAGTGGCCCGGTGCACAAAATTTGTGCACATTAAAAGGGAATTATTTAGGGGAAATACTTTAATATTGCTATTTTCCCTTTCTCTACTATAGAAGTGTCAGAGATGAAAGAAAATTAGTAAAATGTATATGAAAATCTTCCTGTCAGAGTCTGGGGTGTGCTATGGGACCCAGAGTCAATTCCCCGCCCAAATGTGTGGCACCTCAAAATCACACAAGACCCAGACCCAGCCAGACCCAGCCCCACTGGGCGAGATCCAGACCCAGCCGTTGCCACCCCATCAAGCCCCGCTGGGTGGAGGGTGTGGCCTGAGGTCCTCTGGCCCAGGTCAGGACAGGGGGTACACCTTGAGGTCCCCGTCAAGCCCATGGGCGGGGGGTATGGCCTGAGGTCTCCTGTCAAGCCTTGTGGGCAGGGGGTGTGATCTGAGGTTCCCTATCAAGCCCCACCTGGTGGGGGGTGCAGCCTCAGGTCCCCTGGCCTGGTGCCAAAGTTGGGGGCACGGCCTGAAGTCCCCGGTAAAGCCCTGCTGGGCAGGGGGAATGGCCTCAGGTTCCACAGCCTGGCGCTGGGGCTGGGGGCATGACCTGAGGTCCCGTGTCAAGCTCCACCAGGTGGGGGGCGGTGCAGCCTCAGGCCCCTGCTGATTTCTCGTTAAGGCTCATTTGGGGAACTTGGCCTCTGCTGTGGGCACAACCATTTTGATTGGTATGGAGTGACAGTCAATTTGCATATTCCCTCTTTATTAGATAAGATATATAAATGTATATATTTAATACACTTATTAAAAATAATTCAATATATTTTAAAGCATACATAATAAAAGAGAAAAGCACAATTATTCTATGAATTAGAGATAATGATGACAGCAATAAAATTTCTCCTGACCATATATTTTCACATCTAAAACATGTAATACAATTTTTTACTGTTTTTAGCCAGTACAGCTAGGACACGACACTGTAAGCTCTACGAAAGTTAAATCACTTGCTGACACTGGAAATCTAATGAAAATGTCACCTTAACTTTTAGTGACATGTGCTCAGCTGTGTAAGGCTCTGCCCTTGCGGCTGGCGCATTTGCAGGGCAGCCTAGGCTCCCCACCCACCCGCGTGGTCCTTTCTCTTTACGCTGTTGGTCACTCACTCTGTGCTTTCCCCAGACAGACTTGCTGTGAGGCATCACAAAGGCCCAGCTCAGCTCATTAGGGAGACAGGTATGTTTTCCAATGTCACAACTTGCACACGTGCAGTGAAGAGCCACCTTTGGCTTCCGGTACTTTTGTACATTCCCTGTG